AGGTGTGTATGTGAATGTGTGTGTACCGTTATGCATTATATAAAATTACATTTCGACGAAAAAACAATTAAAAGGCAATTAAACGTGCTTTAAAGGCCAACACGAGCGAGGCTCAGAGGCCAGCGCCAAGGGCTAGTCCGCTTGTTAGGGGTATGTGGTTAAGGGGAAGGGGTGGGACGACGGCTTTGCTAACCGCAAAGTTCCGCAAACGCAAAACGAGCCAACGAACCGTTTTAATAAACTGTTGAAAATATTTCTTTTTTATTATTATTAAATGCCGCCTTTGTTGTCCCATTTGCCGCCTGCGGCTGCAAACTGAATTTCTCTGTATACCAAAAAGGATTTGTGTTCCGAGTGGAATTTACATATGCGAAAGACTGAAATTTGATTTGTAATGGATGTCTAGTCATCAAAAGGTGCGCTAGAGCGAGGAGTACTATCAAAACTTTCTAGACAATTTGCTTGGCTTGAAAGAAAAGCAGAAGTTTTTCATATGATGAAAAGTAGAAGGAAATATATAAGGCTGGATAGATGAATTTGTAGACAAATCATATATCATAATACCATATTATATACAACTTATATATAACATAATACCAGATCATATCTAATTAGATTTTAGATTATATAATTTAATATAATATGGATATTTTTCTTTATATTAATTTTCTGCTCTGTCTATATATTATTCAATTGTCTACTCTATCTTTCTTTAACTATTCTCAATATTCGAGAAGAGCTCTACAGATGGTACAACTGTTTTTAGTATTTAATTGTTCGATAGAAACCTCAGTTATCCATCGGTTTACCTTCTCAGCACTAGAAAAAGGATATGATATGCTATACCTATAAATTCTTATATTTTCTTATAACAATCTCTAGGATATACTGCAATATAAGAGCTACAAATATATGTTTAATACTTTGATATAGACACAATAGGATAAAGTATTATGCACCTATATAGTAACAGCTATACAGTATGTTAAAAGATATCTCAGATGAAATCATCCATAAACTACTATGCACAACTATTTATCTATAGATCTACAGCTTTCCATTGACTCAAACTATTCCTCAGTCGATCCTCTAAGCATCTGCTAGGGTATTAAATATTCATCGCCTTGATTCTAGCTGCTCTATCTGGCTGACATCTTTAGTTGCAACCCCCGTCTTGGCCCATTACTACCCGAACCGTTTGCCAAAACGCCCTCGGTCAAAAAGCTTTTCTTGTTGTTGTGTGCGCTTGGCGACTCAATTTGTTTAAGATAATTTAATCTGATTTCATGTACCTGAATATTTATATGGTTGAGGTCGAGCCAGGAGGGGGCTGTAGGGCCAGCGGTAGAGCGGGGGCAGTCTGCATTTGTCTGGCAGCTGGCCGTACCCAGTGCTAAATGTGCGACAATCAATTGTGTATGTCGACACCTTTATGTCAAGAGCTGACAGGTCAGACACACACACACATACACACACAGATATATATGTATGTAAAGAGAGAGGGAGAGAGACCTCAAGTAGAAAATATATAAAATAAAATTCATTCTATAATTTTATAATATATAAATTTCGAGTGTACGACAAAAGGGATCCAAATTCAATTTAAACGTTACACAAATCGGGTTTTATTGCTATTGTTGTTGTTGTTGTTGTTGGAGTTCTTTCTTTAAGATTTTTACGAGTTTTAAAGTTTGACTCTTTTATTTGTGGGGAATATCTGCGAAAAATGCGAAGCTAACAAAGGAGGGCTGGATAATTAAAAGTTTTGCCCGTTGCAAATATTTAATATTTTAATTTATACGCAATTTAATAAATCGTCAAATATCGAAAAACCGGATGCGTACGAAGCAGCGCATTGATTGCAGGACTTTGTATGCCAGACTCTCAGATACCCTGTGAATGGGCTTGGTCGTGTTGTTTGCTGTGGCTTTGCTTAACTGAATTAAGATCTAAAATCTAATATAAAGGGGTAATATGATGATATAGTAGTATTGCTCCACGGAGACATACCCTGTAATTAGTGAAAATTCATTTACGCATTTCCATTTTTGCCTTTACTCTTTGATATTTTGTAAAAATATATTTGGCTATTGTATTTATGTGATATGATCAACTAAGACATACCATGTAATTGGGTAAAATCATGTTATGCCATATATAGTACCCATATCAATATATAGTTGCTGTACATATGCCATAGTAAAATATCCTGTAATAATTCAATGTTTTGCATTTTATAATAACCTAAAACTACCCTGTAATTTCATTAAATTTTGAACTTCATCATTTATTTGCATGCCAAAAATATTCTCCATTATCAATTCCCAACTAAACAATATACCTCGACTAGTGCATGAAATGTCTTTCAATTTACAGGGTATATAAATCAGAATAGCTTCATAAGGACAACACGATCACCAATTGCATCGATGATGATGAAAGATCGGCGCTGTGGCCAGGCATTCGATTAATTTACATCGTTCTCTGTTTTGGCCGACAGACTGCGCCGGCGTTTAGAGTAGGAGCCGCAGTCGAGGCGCAGGAGACAGACAGTTGAAGTAGGAGACAGTCGCATATTTGTGTTGTCTTGTTGGGGATGGGGCTGCTTGCTGCTGCTGCTGGTGCGATTGGGCTGCATTCCATAGTCATAAGGCTCATGTGGAATGCCTTTGGGCATTAGGTTGTCCCAACAATGTGAGCAATGCACAGCAAATGTATTGAGCTGCATTTAATAATTATGCCGCGCAGCCACAAGGAGCACCCGATGCTGAGCATGATGATGATGATGAGGCTCATCATGATGATCATAATGCTGAGGATGCTGTTGATGAGTGTGTGGAACAGAGTTGCGCATTTGCAGATATTTTATTGTTGTTGTTGTTTTTCTTTTTTTCAGGACTGCCTAATGGAAATGTCAGAGGCTCAGTGTCAGCTGCGCGCCCAGAGCTCATCAGCAGGCAAACTCCTATATATACAAACATACATGTATGTATGTATTTATATATTTGGTGCCGGGACATTTTTTGGGGGCTACTGTGCGCATATTAAACAGAGCAAAGAGATCCATACAAACTGCAGAGCTGGCAAGTGATACGCGGCACGAAACATGCGTGAAATCTGCACAAGATTAGGTGAGTGTGTGTGTGTGCAGGTGGGACTGTGTGTGTGTGTGTGTGTGTGACGTGTCTGAGCCTGTCGTTGACCACTTGGCAGGCTTTTGCTTTAATATATGTAGGTCCAACTTGCAACGCAAAAAGTGTGAAATTGTCGACTACTGCATGCGGCATGAAGAAGGAGCAACAGACAACGGGCAACAGGCAACGGGCAACGAGCAACAGACAACGGACAACAGGCAGCAGGCAGCAGGTAAGCAGAGCGAAGTGAACTGCGCAGCTTTAATTAAGTCATTAACACCAATCAGAGTGGACACAGTGAGCACAGTGAACAAACAGTGCGGCAGCCTGCACAGTCGAGTCAGAGAGTCGAGCCACAATATCGAATTTGCCATTTTTGGTCAAAATTATCTGTTTTGCGGTCGACGATACTGTTTACCAATAAAATATCAATTATGCGTGCCCCTAGGGCAACAGCTGCACCGGCTTTTCGGGGCCGTTAATGAGGCACAACTTATGTTAACTATCCCACGGTCTGCGCTCTCTAATCGAACTGAACAAATGGGACGTTTGCATAACAAGCGCTAACTGGTTAATTACATGCGATTGCTTTACAAATCGACTTTTTAGAGCGCAACTCGTTGGCTAAAAAGCCTGATTATGCAGCGCATATTTCATGTAATTACAACTAGCGCCACTTTCTTTCTCCCTCTCCGTCTCTCAGCACAATGGAACGCAACAATTACACTAGACAACAACTAATTTGTGACAAGCAGACAAGTAATATGCATGTTATCTAGTTTTAATGTCTTATATAGTATTTAAATGTAAAATCAATTAACACTAAATTTGGCATTTAATTTTAAATTATTTCAATCGATTTATAAAACACCAGTATTATAATTTGCAATAGCAAAAGGCATTCATTTTGTCTAGCAGTGTGCGCTGCCGATTGAAGCTCACTCCTGTCACACTCTCTTTTTGTTTTACTGTTCATTAGATGAGCTTTCAGCTTGTGTCTCTCATTGCTGCTCTCTTGCTCTGCCCCTCCCGCTGATAGGTAGTGTCAATTAATGAGCGACGTCTGTCCCGTTTCGTCGCACAAAAGAGAAACGTCAAAATGCGCGTTAAATGCGCAATGAGCTTAATTCGTCGTTGTACGACTGTGCGCACACTCGCACACGAACACGTATACAGAGGCGCGTATTAACCATATGTTAGCCGTCTCGTTCGCACTTGTGAGCAATTGTCACTCAATCAGCCTTTTGTTTTAAAGTAGAGGGGGAAAACAACTGCTGGGTAATTGAACGCATCGCAGCCACTTTGTTTTTTCTTTGTCTTTCTCTTTTTTTATTTTTGCTTCGCCTTTGTGTGCGAGTTTAAATACCCTTTATTGTAAAAAGAAGTGGATAAGTGAAGCATAAGTAAATTATATCATATGCTTATGTGAATGTGATTAAAAATAAAAAAAATCTAAATATGTGTAATATGGAGATTTATATAAATATTATCTATAATTAATTTAAGTTAATTGAATATAGGGTATTCACTAGTCCATCATCGACCACACTTGTAATACTTGTTTGTGGCTGCCTTTTTTTTGTGACTTTTATATAAATTGTTGTAACGCCTATTCGGAGCAATGTTTTGGCAAAGCGACGACCAGAAGCCACCAGCCAGAGAACAACAGTAAGTGTAGAGCAGAGTAGAGAGGGACTCGAGGTGGAGATATTATATAGAAGCGCAGGCCATTGTTCCAAGCATAACTCATTAAGAGTGGAACTGGCCTAAGTGTCGACATGGACGTTGGGAATGCTGAATTTTTTTTTTATTTATGTATTTATTTCTTTCATTCTTTTTGTTGTTTGTAAATATAAATGTGAATGGGAGTGTGTTGAGTCTGTGTGTGTGTGTGTGTGTGTGTGTGAAGTGACCGAGCGAGGCTTGGACCTATTAATTAGATAACTATCTTGAGAAATTGCCCATTTTCAAATAGTCGGCGAGCATTTGTGTAATTAGATTTGCTTTTCACAACATTTACGTTTGTTCGGGTCGGACGTTGATTGCATTTGGCGGCTGGCGGCCGACGACTCAAATAACCTGAGCGATTAATCATGGCAAGACTCGAGCCAACAGCAACAACAACAACAACAACAACTACTACTACTACTACTGAACTTAACTCCAGACATCTGCCGTATGCACATATGTATAAAAAAGGAAAAAAAAAAAACACGCGCCTTGCGGTTTGTCACAATTTATGAGGTGATAATTATTCATCGCAAGCCGCAAAACTGTCATAATATTGTAATTAACATTAAGAGAGCCGCAATGAAATTAAACGCATTTCATTGCAGGTCGTGTTGGACTTTCACTCGACCCTAATTTAGGCGCCCAGGCTGACCAAGTTGATTTCCGTATTGCCTTGAGTCGAAGACGGAAATGAGCCACCGCAATCGTCAATCATCAATCGATAACCATCGCTGCTGCATCGTGTAAAAGGAAACTTTTAAATGAAGAAGAAGAAGAAGAAGAAGAGAGAAAAAATAAAATGAAAATTGTACACTAGAAAATCGACAAACTAATCACATGAAAAGGAAATGAACTGCAGCCCAATGAAACCTGGCCACAGTCAACACACAGCGAATAAGCAAAAGGTAAAAGGTAAAAGGTAAACGATAAACGGTAAATGGTAAATGGTAAAATGGTAATCCAAAGCCAAGGAATCAACAAGGAATCGGAGCTGAGAGCGCTGCGCTATTTGAGTGCTCTGCATTCGACACCATGACAAATTTGTCTGATTTCAAGGCAAGTCCAGACCTGAGATCAGAGATAAAATAAATCTCCAATCTCATCCTACAATAACAATTGCTCTAAGAACTAAAGCTGATGCTAAGTAGATTTTATGTAAGTCATTAGAAGACTCTACTCATATGACTTTTTTGAAATGGTAATAAGTAATTATAGAAAACTGAGTGTGGGAACTGGAATTAAATGATTTCTGAGACATACGAAATTTAAAACTAAAAATGTTGGAAAAAATAAAATGAAAGGTTTAGTTGTAATGCATTTATATATATATATTTATTTATTTTATTTTATTTATTTTTTATTTATTTTATTTTATTTTTTTTTT